AATTACGATTTTTATTTTGAAATTTCAAATTGCTTTGCCTTCGAATCTTTTTTATTAAAATAAAATTAAAAGAAGATGGTTTTTATGAGTTTTATAACATAATTAAAGTTAAATAAAAATTGTGGGTTTTTCAGTACTACACAAAATGCACCACGTGGACATACAGCTCGCTTAGCATCTCTTGGCATCAAAGATCACGGTTCCACAGTTGTGCATCCCGAGTAATGCTAAAGCAGTCTATAACTTTCATTTGACTTTAAATTACATTAAGAAACTCATAAAGAACCTTCTCTTCTTTCAAAAAAATTCGAGAGCAAAGCAATTTCAAATTTCAACGCAAAAATAGCGATAACTCAAAAACAACGCATTTCCAAACCTACGTTTGTAGGTTGATTTTCTTGTTTTTTTTTTTTTGAGTCCCCATTCGTCTCCGGAGTGATCGATCGCGAAACACCCTATACATTGTTAATAGGCCAGTCGTCGGAAGTCGAGCTAAAATCTTTTCCCTTGCGCAACAAGTGTTTCTCGGATATGTTCGAGGCCGCGCGTATTCGCGCGTGTGTCTCGAACGTCCATCGTCCAGGCCTTCGTGAAAAACAACGGGCGGAGGTTTGTTCAACCTGCTTAGACGGAAGTGACGTCGGCCGTGTACACGTGGGGCGACACGGCTCGTTGAGTGCCGCGCGGAAATAACTCACGTATGGGGGTATCGTCACGTCTCTCGTAGTAACGCGCCGGAACGGAAACGCAGATACGTGCATGCGAGCGAGCAAACGACGTAAGTGCCGAACAGACGGTAATCGTCCGCAAAACTTATGTATCTTCGAGGAAGAAAGAGAGAGAGAGAGAGAGAGAGAGAGAGAGAGTAGAGAGTAGTACTATACTCGATATATGTATGTACTAAGTAGTAATTATACGTCGTTAGTATTAGAGTACGTTAAGTTAGTTGTACTAGTTAGTTAGTAATTCGTACCAGTAAGAAATATATCTAAACTATAAAGTTAATTTACTTTACCCGTTAAACGAAAAAGGTTTATTTAAACGTTTTCCCCTTAAACGGTAAAGTTAACCGGGAACGGGTAAAGTTAAATTTAACCTTTTAAAATTAACCGTTTCCCTTTTACCCTTTAACCCTTTAAAACTTTTTTCCGTAAGGTTTAACTTTAGGTAATTAGTTAATTTAGTTAATTACCGTAGTAGGTAAGTTATTTTATTTTCGACTACGTTACGTAGTAACAAGTAAGTAATTTATAATAGTAAGGATAACTTAATACTATTCGTACTTTTAGTGTACGTTAGACGTACGTTCGAACCGTAACGGTACCTAAAACCGGTACGGGGGAAACGGGGGTTTAAAGTAAACGGGGTTTACGTACGTAACGTACGTACGTACGTACGTACGTACGTACGTACGTACGTACGTAACGTACGTACGTACGTACGTACGTACGTACGTAACGTACGTAGTAGTAGTACGTACGTAGTAACGTACGTACGTACGTACGTACGTACGTACGAGTAGTACGTAGTAGTAGTAGTAAGTAGAAGTTGAGAGTACGAGTAGAGAGAGAGAGAGAGAGGGAGGGAAAGAGATGGAGATGCCGATGTTCAACGTTTCGCGCGATGCATTACGAAAGGTGTATCCTTCTTGGAAGAAGGATGCCGGAGAGTGTCTATCACGTCGATCCTCGATAAATGCATAGTCTTCGTCGCTGACTCGCAGAATTGTCTTGCCCTACGTTAGACGTAACAAGTTGTAATGTCTTAATGATAAAATAAAATTTTTAAAAATGTAATAATTGATGAAACGTGATTTTAGAGCTCTTTCGATCGAGTATAATAAGTAATGCGCTGTATTACAATTTGCGTTTCTGCTAGAAAAATGTGTTGTAAAAATACGGGAGGATTTATCAAAAGCGTAACTATCGAAATTTATAAATTTAAATGCCTTTGAATTGTGCTTGTAAAGTAAACCATTTACTCTATATTTATTCGAAAACTTAATGAAAATTTTGTGTTCTCATCAATTTCTCCTCCGCCACGATCGCCATTATCGCAATTCACGAACGAGGGACTCTATTTAGCTTAGGTTGGCTTGGAAAGTCGTTATCAGCGTTCACGCATCCGAGAGCTTTTCGTTCCGCCGTTCGTTATCCGTCTTTCCAATCAGCCAGTCTATCACGGACTGCTCTGCTTGTTCCGTCACCGGAGGAAAGAGAAACGACACAGTGACCTCTGCGACTTCTCATGGTATCTCGTCGAATCCCATAAGGTGACTAAGCCGAAATGGGTGTCTTTCCGTGCGCTCCGAAGACAGTTGGCTTTCTAACAATGGGCCCGACACATCGCTTCTCGTTACGAAACTTGACGCCTTTGTATTTCCACGTGGAGCACACACGGAGTATGCGGCCTGTATGCGGCCTCACGTGATCCATGACAATGGATCTGGTCTCACCGCGGCAACATCTCGTACAGTTTGCACGGTGGCACTCAACACACACACACACACACACACACACACACACACACACACACACACACACACACAGAGAGAGAGAGAGAGAGAGA